ATCATAATACTGGTAGATATTGGAAATCAAAAGGTTAAAGAAAAGTTCTCCATAATGCTGACGTATACAATATAATAACTATTATAATTACTTATATTATCTATGCACTGTTAGTTATTCTCATTTTGAATAGAATATTGAATTAAAAGAATTTTTGTAGACAATAAGAGATACTATTTATTTTTCATGTGAATGGAATTTTGGGGTACATGAAATGTATGGAGATAATGAACAGTATTCAACTTCAAAGGTCCATTAAACAATACAAATTTTGGAGCAGAGCAAACACGGACCTCTAAAATTTCAGAGGTGGGATCAGGTGCCATGGAGGAGTGAGCACCCCTTGCCGACCGGTCACACCCGCACATATAATGCACGTTTTGAGCAAGGAGTATCATTAAGAATGCTATTTTTATCCAACTTATTCCTAAGTATAAATTAAGTGGGTTATTGATAATAGAACAGATTTTAACTCACTTGAGAAGTTAAATGTGATGCTCTAAGTATTAATGTTGAATACATATTTAATAGTGTAATTATCGTCAGCTGTATGTACATCATTGTATAAAATTTAGTAACCTATTGGTCACTACGCGAGATTATTGATTTTCCCATGATAAGGCAGGATAAAACTTGCATATATGAAAAGGTAAAAAAAATACTGTAAGCATCGAGTTTCATTCTGAGAGGGACAGATTCCGACTTGTTGACCATGAAACCAACGTTTGGCAGCTTCGTGGTTGTAATGAAATGGCAACAAAATGCATGGAGATAGCTTTTCTTAAATTAGATTAACCAATCCATACACAGATACAACTCAATATGACATCATATCAAATCAAGCATAATATTGTAAAGTGTCATTAAATTTTTATTCAGCCTAAGCTGAATGACACTTTTGACCTTGATATCAAAAGAATTGAAGTAGGATTTCAAAGTAACTGATCATTACTTTGCATGTAATTGTTCATTCTTTTTATTCAGCTTGTAAGAATTTATGCGTATTTCCTCATTGCGGTTAGATGATAAAAGAGGTTGTGAATGCACATAAGTGTGGCATAAAGACTGTGGTGCTCCACACAGAAAATTCTGACTTTAATTTTTGAATGTAAAATAAATCATACTTAGCTTTTTTGTAGTACATGTGATATTTTTAATTCTTAATACAATTCTTCTCCTATATGGCCTTAGGACCATGATTTTCATTTTTTAGTCTATCGAACATGGAATTATTCCGTTCCTTAATTGTATACCTAACAGTTTTTAATCTTAAAGAGTCGCATTCCACTACCGCCTTTCTTTTTTATGCCCCTGTAATCAAAGATATAATTTATAGCATATGGTTTTTGTAGTGTCCATCCGTCTGTCTGTCTGTCTTCTATCTATCTGTTTGTTTTTTGTTCGCAAAAACTTTAACCATGATGGCCATAACTTTTGATTGGTTGGAGCTATGGCCTTCATATTTCACATGTGTATTCACCGGTCATGGGAGCCTAGGGATAGGGCGTTCGCTTCGTGATCGAGAGGCCCGGGTTTGATTCTCGTTCGCCGCGCCGCGTCAAACCTACGACGTAAACATAGGTAGTGACTGTTCCTTCGCCAAGCGCCAGGCATTAGAAGTGAAAGTTACGGGTCTTTCGGATATGATCTTAAAAACGTAGGTCCCGTGTCACGGATGGCGTTGGCACGATAAAGAACCCTCACTGCTCAATGGCCCTGAGTGCCGAGTATAGGTCTAAATTTGAAGCCCTTCACCGGCATACGGTGACGACTCTATATGACTGAAAAATTCTCAAATGGGACGTTAAACAATATACAATCAATCACATGTGTATTCCTTGTGACAAGACCTTTCTTTAGGTACCAACATATTTGACCTCTTGACTGTGGAGTTTGACCCACTTTTGCAAAATGTTAACACACTTAACTTGGCCATAACTTTTGAATGGTTAGTGCTAGGACGTTCATTCTTCACATGTGCTTTCCTTGTGTCAAGACCTTTCCTTGGTACAGATATTTTTGACCTCTTGACCTTGGAGTTAGACCCACTTACAAAAACTTGAACCTTGTCCATAATTTTTGAACGGTTGGTACAAGGGATTTCATATTTCTTCTTATATGTATTCATTGTGATAAGGCCTTTACAAGGGTACCAACAAACTTGACCTTTGAGTTTAACCTACTTTTGAAAAACTTTAACCTTGGCCTTAAATTTTGAACGCTTGAATTTATACTAAGGCCTTCATATTTTATAGATTTATTCCTTGTGACAAGACCTTCCCTTGGGTACCAACACTTTTGACCTTGACCTTGGAGTTTGGCCTACTTTGAAAAACTTCAATCTTGTCAATAACTTTTGAACAGTTGGTTCTTGGACTTTTATATGTCACTTGTGTCTTCCTTGTTACAAGATTTTCCATTGTGTACCATCAATGTTAATTTGTTTACCCTGACCTTGGGGGTTTGACTTGCATTTGAGAAACTTAAACCTTCGCCATGAGCTGTCATATGGGGGCATCAGTTTTTTAACAAACACATCTTGTTTCTCTTCTCGGTGTAATTGAGGTTTTGATGATACTAAATGGAACATTTTGATTTGATAAATTAGACTGTGTGTTAAATCTTTAACATCACATAACTTTATGCGAAAATGTACCTCCATGAAACAATTAGTCGGAAGGTCATCATGCCAAATACAAAGGTCAAGGAACTTCATGTAATATTTTCAAAAAACTGACCATAATCCTCGGAAGATTTACGCTCGACATGATCCATGAAGTTCTTGTCATGTTTATTAATAAATGAGATAAGGAATCTGTATAAAAACGACAAATATGATGTAGGTTTATGGTTATATTCGTTTGAAGATAAAGGTCACATTCATTTGATTTGCAATTCACTTGCAGCATCCGTTTGTCGATGTAAAAAATATAACTTACAGTCATAAAAAATTATTTGATAATTTAAGTTGCCCAAGATTAATATATTTGTGATCAATGGCAACACAGAGGCAAATTTTAGAGTTCGATAAGTTTCAAAACGTTACTTGTAACTGCTTCTTTTAAACAAATCGTGTTGACAACTTCTTTAAAACATTCTTCACATGTATGCCCGCCACTTTTAAATAAAGAAGACGTATTTTTACAAAAAGGATTTTTTTCTCACAAAGTTAAACAATGGTCAACTTATCAAATAATTTCTCATGCAAATATTATTTTTCAAAAAGAGAAACAAATGCTGCAAGTAAATTGCAGATCAAATGAACGTGATTTTCAGCGTTGAAACTATACAAAGTCTCAATGGATATATAATATGCATTGTATTCATTAATAGAGGCGGGCCTCGATCATTTGAGCGTAAATCTATCCTAGGTTTGTGGTCATGCATTTTTCTGAAAATACTTTTTGCCTTCCATATCCTCAGAATGAAAATTTTAAACATATTGTTTCCCGCAGCTTCGTAATTTTTCAGCCAGAATACAAAGCTAAAAATGAATGTAGTTGTAAGTATGTCATTTATTAATGACACAAAGGTAAGACATGAAATTTGGAGATCCTATGTTTCTCTACAATTTGTATATACACCTGGATTTGGATCTCCCAAAACTTAAAGGTACATCATGATACTGTTGTAATCAAAAATACAATTTTATCAAACACTTATGGTGAAAAATAAGGTGCACGTGGCAACAAACAATAGGCCATTATATCAAGCAATTATGTTGAAAAATAAGGTGGTAACAAACAAAAGGCCAACAAACAGAATAATAAGATTATGTAAATTTACTACCAATGGGACGGTTGAACGGGGTGGTGGTGGGTATGTTTTCCTTTACAAATTACAGTGTGCACAGACACTTGCAGCTTAAGCATATAACATTAATACTGATCACGTGATCGCATTGTAACTATTAGCTAAACACCGTAAGATCCCTAAAATCCGAGACAATTTATTACATAACATGCAAGTAGTTTACGAAGCCTAAGTTAACACATTACATAATATACAGATAGGTAAATTCTTAATACAAAAGTCAAAGATACATATGAATGCATAAAACATAATTTCCAATTTATTTCCAATAATATTGCATGATTTTTTTTTAATATAATATATTTTAATAACATAATTTATAATTTACTATGCATTTTAGTACAAGTTTTATAGCATTATAATCAGAATAGCAAAAAAAAAAAAAAAAAAAAGGAAAAAAAAAATTGTAAGTTCTTTTTCATAACAGTTAGTGTCGGCTGTGATATTACAATGACAAACGAGGGAAATTGTGAAGTTTTTATTTAAATATGGTTCGTTTGCGACAAGACCTATTATTCTTTCTTTCTTTCTGACAGTGCAAAACGCCCAGTGGTTTCCATTTTTTCTTTGCTCTTACATTAGAGCAATTTTTTGCTTTATCTAAAGAGTTACATTTGAAAATAAGTTTTTTTCAATCTTCATTATTCTTTTCTTCTTTGACCTTCGTTGTATCGCTGATTGAAAGGTCGAGTTGTTCTTTTCATCTTGTATACTAATTACGCCCTATGAAGCTTTTTTTCGCGCTTAAACAGTAAGGTGCATAAGTAACTCCCACGTTCTATGAAACTGATTTTAAGAATAAAACTATCTACGGAATTAAACACGACACGGAAGAATGCTCAAGAAAAGGAAATAGTTCACTAAAAGACTTCAAAAACTGACAGCAATTAGTTTCCTTCATATTCAAATTGCAAACTGTAATCATGCGAAGTTTAATTATTCAAAGCATATCAAGGTATTATTATAAGTAAATATATGTTCACGAAATACTTGAGGGTTTTTTTTTCAATAAGTCTATCTGGTGATACATCATAGTGAATATTTTCCTCTCATTTTTATGTGTTTCTTGGAAATGCGCTGTGATTGAAAAAAAGAAGTCCGAACTCTTTTTTATCATTATTTTCGTTACAAAATTGTGGAACTAGCATGACAATACATTTCATTTTGCCTTTTTATTTACTTTACAGTCATGAAGGGTGTATATGGTGCATTAGTGTTATGTCTTTTCCTCTCATTGGTGGCCGTCGGTTTACAAATTGCTGCCAGTGTCACAAAAGGTTGGAAGATCATCGAGGGTGAACATTTAGTCCAAAGGTCACCTTGGGTTACACCGGCCATGTTTAAAATGGACGAAAATGAGAATAAACATGTGAGTTTTCATATTTTATGATAGAAATAAAGTGTATGTATGTCATTATGGACATGTGACATCGCAATACATGTATACACGATGGAATTGCAAGTCATGAATATTTCATTTTTTATCAAAGACGGCGAGAATGTATATTCCATTGTAGAAGTAGATTAATTGATAGAAGCTTTGAAATGTTTCAGGCCGCCATACATATAGGTGTCTGGGGACTCACAATCTGTGTTAGTGGGCGATGTATTGACATTGAGGACTATAGGCCCGACCCTAGCAAACTAATTAAATATTTTGAAGGTAAAAAAGACCTCCTTTATCAGTATTAATCATCAAACTAAAGTATGCGTTTACATTTAGTCTGTACAAGTATAAATCATTGATGCTTTTTTTGGCGATCATATTTTGCAACGGAACGAATTTCAGAAAAAGACTACATGGACCAAATAAACACATAAATAAATAAATCTTTAAATAATTTGAGTTAACTTTTTTAGCCATAATGATTTAAAATAATTTGCATATCATAAGAGCATTTTTTGTCTTGCCTCTACAGGAACACCTAGGGAGATACAGGCATTATCCGTCTTCGGATGTATGATGGCTGGAGTTGCCGCTCTTTGCTTCTGGCCTTTCTTCCAGACTCTGGACCAAAAGAGAAATTGTTACGGGATTTATGTCTCAACTCTTCTCTTTATGTCAGGTGAGGAAGGAAATATAGGTATAAAAAAGTAAAAAAAAAAAAAAAAAGAACTCTTACAACATCGATACTTAAGTTTTCATATTTACACCATTATAAATATGATATTTCACACATTTAATTTACAATTTCATTTTTAGAAAACAGTGACAAAACAATCATACATTTTAAAGATCATACAGAATCTTCACAACCCTTTTTACTATACATGTTAGTGTTCAAATATTTAGGGGACATTGGCTAGCTTATCCACTGACTGTGAATGGGATAGCGCTTTTATCAAACCGGCGACAGGAAATTTCTCTTGGTGGTATTTTGAATGTTGTGTACAGACAATTAGATAGTGTACTATGGATATTTTATCAATGTACAAGCTCTTCCGATCTAGAAACAGTTAAGCTATGAAGTGAAAAGCTCTAGTCAACTTCAGACATCGCATGAAATCGTGATATGGTCTACTTTAGGAATTCAACAGAACATAATCTTGTAGATAGAGTAAACGTTTAGTCTATTTTTTGTACAATCACTATTTGAGGAGTAGCACTTTGAAATCATTTGACAGATTTCTCAGTAAGTTGGTAGCTCCATTGAAATTCAACATCAATATACACACTTGTATATGTTGATTTATACTTGTGTCCTTGTGTCAAATTTTACTGCATTCGATAGATCTGTCAAAAAAGATATATTCTAAAATATCGTTTTGGACAGACATCTAGACATCTATGCATACAGACAACTACATGTACCTCTTTACTCTATGCTTTTCTAGCCTTTGACCTGTAACCCGACTTGAAAAGCTACAACATGCATAGTAACAGATCTTTTAGTTATAAACCTCTGCTTCTTCTCTTTTAATAAATCAAGCGATTCGAAAACTTATAGGCAATCATTTGTACTAAAAACCTTTTTGCTTTTGTAGGATTATCTTGTTTGGCCTTAGCTTACATAATGTATCAGACTGTTGAAACCATAGAAGATCTTTACATAGACCGAAAACAGAAGATTAAAACGCCATTTCCGTATTCTTTTGTCTTGCTCCTCATTGGGTTTATTGCTTCTTTCGCTGGATGCTTGACATCAGCGATCGCAGTTTGTAAACTGAGTCAGGACATAGAACATGAGGAAAAATTGAGGATTGAGCGAGAAAGAAAAATGGACAAAGATGACATCTTTGCACAGCACCATATCATTTCGAAATCAAAGACACAAAGACCCGCCATATCAATGAAAAACCAAGAGCAAGTGGTTTATTCCATTCATTTATAAACAGATTCGGCTATATACTAAATATTTACTAGGATTTTATAATTTTTCAATTCAATATTTCAATTTCTGAGTAATATTAGAAGATCATGAACATTTCGTCTCTTATCTGTAGTATTTTCGCTGTCATGATGACAATGGTCTTCAAAGACTTACTGCTTTTCAATGATCCGAAGCTACTTTATGTGTACATTATTTAGCAAGTCTTGTTTATTAATTGTCTTGTCTTTGTTATGACATTTTTTGCACGATATATATACCAGTATTTGATCTTATTAATGTTTTTGTAGAAATTGAAGGAGAATTGCATAAAACTTAGTACTTTACATTTTCCTGCTTACTAAGTATTAGTGACTATCACATAGAAACCCCATAGACGGAAGAATTTTTATTTGACCATTGTGTTGGTACAACATTAATATTCAAGATAAACCAAAACTGTTATTATTCGTGTTCATTTTGAAAACTGTTTAGATTTTTCTTGTCTGGCTTTGCATGCCAAAAAAAAAGGGAATATCAAATTTTAATATATATATATATATATATATATATATATATATATATATATATATATATATATATATATATATATATATATATATATATATACACTTATCTCATCATGTACATGGAACTTTGCATGTTATATTTTCAATTTTTTTGTACATATCTTGTGTCCATATATGCGGTTTAATGACAATGTTATTAGATTATTCCAATTCAATGTTGACGTAAGAGATAATTAGAAGTTCTGTTATACAGAATGTATAGTTGACTAGTACAGCACCTTTGTCTATGTAGTAAAATAAATATTTTTTAGCACTCTGTAAATGTCGACTATGTCATTTTGATGATGTGTTTTATTAGTTTTTTCTTGATTTTTTGGTTAGTGTTTACTGTAATAAAATAATTGGGGAAAATTACTTAGTTTTCTTTGTAGCAATAAGAAGAAATAAACACTCTCATTAAACTGCTGATTTCGTGCGAAACACAGTCATTATAAAAATATCCCCACTTGTTGACAATTTTAATTTGACATTTGCTCTTTTTTTTATTTTTAAAAAAAAGTACACGATGCCATAGGGTTAATACCATTGACTTTAAAAGTCCTAAATTGGCACTTGTTCAGGGTCTTGGCATAGTCTTCAGTTATTACCAACCTTCATATTTAACAGGATATCCTTAATCCTGCCTTTAACAATTATGACCCAGTTAAATGTTTCTTTTATAGACATTCCTTGTGCCACATATTTTTTCTGGATCGATAGCATCACAAAAAGGAAAAGGAATAATACTAATACTTGTGTACATTTTATTTACATGTAATATTAGACCAATAGCATAACAATTTCGTATAATTTTTCTGGCACGTTAAATAAATAAACATTTGCAAACAGAGAGTGTGAGATTACAGTGATTTAAAAATCAGACTTTAAAATTATATTGATTCAGAAATTGTTCTTAAAATAAACTTGTTATCTTAAGGGGACGACAGTTTCATTCTGAAAGGGGGAGGGGCTGGCAAAAGTTTTCGACTTAGATTAATATACCCGCCCCCTCCGCTTGAAAAGCGGGAGGACGGGTGTATAGCTATGGGTGTACGTCCGTCTGTCCGCTATGCTTTGGGGTATACATCTCTTATCCGCCACTCTTCTTGTACCACTGAATAAAATTCAATGAGAATTTCACAGAATCTTTGTTACGTACATACTGTGCACCTTCTATTTTACTTTCTGATCTCGGGTTTCCAATAGCAAAACATCGACACGGCCATTCTTTCTAAATACTTTCCCAGAATTTTACATAGTGCCATTGTGTACCTCCGATTTCCTTTTAGATAGGACACATATTTCGGGTCTTCCATAGCAAAAAACAGACTTCGCCATTATAAAAAATATGGGAGGTGGAGGTATATTTTTGAGCTCAGTGCTCACAGTACCTATAGTTTATTTTCGTGCCAGTCAAGGACAAATTATTTGAAGGACAGAATATTTATTGATTTTTCTTCTTCACTGAAAAAAGTATGACAAGCAAGCCAAAAAAAAAAGGTATAATGTCTAAACTCCAAAAGCTTATTTCGTCTGTGTGGTGGTGGTGGTGGTGGTGGTGGTGGGGGGGGGGGGTTATATGTAGTGTGTTGTTTAACGTCCCTCTCGAGAATTTCTCACTCATGGAGACGCCATTGCTGTGTTGGAGGGCTACAATTTTGGACCTTTACTCGGCACTCAGGGCCATAAGTAGTAAGGGAACTTTTTCCTACCAGCACCTACTGCGACAAGTGACCTCGGTTCATCCGAAGGACCGGTCTCCACGTCCCATAGTGGGATAATTAAGAACCCGCGATGTAAGGATCAACTCCACACTCCCGAGACTCTAGAGCAAACGCTCTAACCACTGCGCTACGCGGGCGATGGGTAACAGTTGAGGACAGATTTATTTTCAACATTTTCGAGGAGAGATTATTATTTGCTACTGTAATTAGTTAATAGTGAAAAATAGCAAAATGTCAGAAATCTTTACAAAACCAACGGTGAGAAAAGACAAAGCTCATGTACAGGTCTGTTCAAATCATAGTCCCCGGTAGGATTTGGGTTAAAATGGAGGGGCTTTTATATTAAAAAGAATACATGAGAAAACTCTTCTCAAAACCAAGAAGATGGCAATAAGTCTTATTAATATGCATGTATCCCAATATTGTGCAGATGTAAGTTTTATTCAAATCATGGTCCACAGGGCTATATAGGGACCACAGACGGGGACCATATTTGTACCTAAGAATGTATCAATAAAATCTTTAAAACAACGTAGATAAAGTCATACTAATATACACGCATCTGCATTAAATGTAGTCCTGAGACTAGTGTGAAAGTACAGCACACACAGTTAGGGAACGACCATTTGATTCTGAAGGGAGGGAGGCTGGCAAATTTTTCGAGTCAGATTATTTACATGTATTTTTATTCCAGTCAAGGACAGATTATTTATTTTCAAGATTATCAAGCACAGATTATGTATTTTCATTTCACAATAGGGAAAAAGAGAAAACCGCCAAATTCCAAACCTCTATTTTATGGGGGAGGGGGATAGTAGCATTGGACAGGGACAGATTATTTATTTTCTTGTCAAATGAGGACAGATTATTTATTTTCAACATTTTCAAGGGCTGATAGCTATTTGATCCCCTCCTTCCATCTTTCAGAATCATCGTGAATCATGATCGTCCTTTTAGTGATATTAACATGCGGCTTTAATATAATAGTGTAAGTTATACTAGTACTTCTTACATGTTTATATGCGTTTTAAAATTTCAAAAAAATATAGGCATGTTTCAAGTAACAGTAATTAATGGTATAGCTTATAAAGAAAATGAGCGAACAAGGCGAGCGCCATGCCTATAGTGTGACAAACATGAAGATAGAAAATTAAATCTCAATAACAACAAAATTTTCTTTGATATTTCATCTAAAATTAAAGTATACTTTATGTCAAATCTCCACAATGTGCAAAAATCTCACATAGATTTAAATCATTTGCCTAACAAATAGCATATACACACTTAAAAGGGCAAAAAGGATAATTTTCTTATAACACAATTTTTCGATATGAGTGGGTCTTCGCTCCATATTTTTGAAAGTTTATCCTCAAAGTTTGCATAAAAATATACATTTTTGGTTAACAAAAAAATGGAACAAAGACCCACTATACCTTTAAAATACACTTTTATGACACAACATTCGCATCTTTCCAAGTATTACTTGAAGTCCATTTAATATTAAAAACATGATTTAAGGACATTGGCAAGGTTCCTGGTTATTGTATAGAATTTTTCTAGAACTTTTGAGTAGGTTTAAATGCACTAAACATGCTATATTCTGGATCGTTATACCTACCAATCCAACATTCTTTTTTAGATTTTGTCATATTAGTGTTTTTACAATTCTTAATGCATTTCCTATGTAAAATGTTGATAAAAGGGACCTACAAAATTTTTCACCATAATATTTCTTCAAAACTCTTTTATTTCATACAGTTTTTGTATTATATACATTATTGTATCTTCATTTCCTATGACTTCTAAATATTTTGGCTGAAAATGTATATATAGAAACAAGACATGGATATACCGGCACCGATCATCATTTTTGAGCTGCGTCCCTTAACAGCTAAAATTGGTCAAGAGACTGGTTGATTGTTTTTATCATGTAATTGACTGAATTGATTGAAACACATTGTCATAAAAATATTGGCATGGATTTATTTTTAACTTTATTCGTAATTACTAAATGCTGATTCCCTCACACGACCTAAGAACTGTTCTCAGTCGGCATGGTCGACCTACCTTTCAGTATATGTGACATCCAGCATACTGAGCATAACAATGGTAAATGACGACCTGTTGGCTCTTTGTCTGTGAATACAATGTACAACAAAACCATTACCACTTTTCTTTCTTGCTGTATAGATGATTCTACCCGTCGAAGGAAGTGCACGTGCTTTTGTTTACCTCTGTAACATACGCTTTATTAGTTTTCACCGCTTAGAGAATTCTACACGGGAGATCACTCTCAATCACTATTTTATAAGGAAAAAAAAACCATGTATTAAACCTTTTTTCTCCGGAAAACCCTGACTTGCCAATGTCCTTAAATGCCACCATTCAGCAGGAGCTGTGTAGCGTAGTGGTTAGAGTGTTAGTCTCATAGGAAAACAATACTCAGGATTTTTATTGCTAGGGTTCGAACGCACATTATGTTTTTAATAACAGAATGACTTTTGCGGAAAAAATTTTCCTCAGAAAAGTTTTATCATAATTTCATAAATTTCAATAATTAGAATTTTACTCTAAATACTTAATTCACAAACTGATCATGATTTTAACACATCTGAAGCTATAAGCATTTAGCGCGCCTTGTTCACCCATCTCTTTTGGATCCACCCTGTACAACCCTTTTAGGTTTCGAAGTCGACACTCCATATACTCCTACAGTGGATGGAAACAATAAGCAAACCACCAGTTGTTAAGATGGAGCAGCATGGTGCTAGTGATACTAAAAAGGAATCAAAATTGGTAGTAAATATTTTTTTTCCCAAAGATATCCTTCTTTTCTGGAAGCGCCAACACAGACAATGTACGAAGATGAATGCCTACGTTGGGAATCTTATAAGCCCGAGGTTGATACATTACGCTACAAGATAACCACTGAGGGGAGAAGAAATGAAATCGAGACAATATGCAACTTGGCCTTGGTGCTTCTATCAGTACAGTTATTTAACTGCAGAACTGTAGCGTTATGAATTTATATTTTAGTCTCTGACGATAATGGTACAGATCCCTTGATGCAAGTATGGTGCAATGTACGGCACAAGATTTTCTGCGGTTTGGGATCTATTTCTCTACTTTCCAGCATTAGACAATCAACTACCTTTCATTCCCTAATTCTATATATATTCTTTTACCAACTTGTATAATTATGTACCTCCTAACCCTTTACAATCGTCTCTACAGACCAATAAACTCTCTTAATTTGAATTTTTTTATCGGATGGCAGAAAATTCAAAATGAGAGAGTTTATTGGTCTGTAGAGACGACTATAAAGGATTAGTAGGTAGTAAAGCAAGCAAAAAGGATTGTAGGCCAAATGGAAACAGAAGAAATGTTGCAGACCATATTTGTCAAAGGACATTTCTAGTCATTTTATGACCAATGTCATACCTTTAACACTAGAGATCAGCGGTTTGGAACGTAGAACTAGAACATCAGCCACCCGTAAAAACAAGAAGCTAGCTACTGCAGAGTCACCTTGCTGATTCATCAACAAAGAGGTTTGAATCACTTGAGGGACAGATTCAACAGCTAACTGGTGAGGTAAAGGCTATGAAGCATCAGTATAGCTGCAGCCCACAGATGCCTTGACAACACAGAGCAGCAAGACAGCTTCCAGCGAGGAAGAAGACAAGGATAATATGGGGGAAATTTTAGTCAGAGAGTATGCCTCAATCAGATATTGTGCCACATACACAGATTTAGATATAGGAACCAAGATGAAGTGAATCCTTTTATTATGAGCATCTTAGTAAAGATGTAGAACACATTCTATAGAAGAGACTATAAGGATAGAATGTACAGATTGCCCTGCATAGGTTTGGTTTGAACATATTTTATTGTCTTTAAATTTTACAATTGGGATCGGGCAAAAGTTCTAAAAACTTGATACCTTTCCCTACATGTGAATTATATCAAACATATTTACATATATGGGTCACAGTTAAAAATTCATAAGCACAGAAAATTACCAACATACATTATATAGCACACAAATTGGATAGAATTCGCAAAAGGTGTCAATCATCCTGGTGCAAGGTGCAATTATGCCGACTTTTCTCATAGAATCCGGTTTAGCCTCGCTTACAATGTATATATTTTTGGGAACTCAGGGTCCACAAAATAATTGCAAGAGAACGATGAGCCTCGACTGTCACCTGAGTATTACGAGTTTCTCAGGCTATGGCCCACCTGGAACTCAGATCTCGTATGACTGAAGAGTTAACAGTGTTATGAGAACACTATAAATAGGGTGGAATTAAGGGTAGGCCCATTGTCCTCCATGAAACCTGATATATTTCAAACTTGCATCAATTTTCGAAAAAAAAAAATTGCCAGCGGAGGGTGCCAGATTGTACATTCCCCACAAGTCTCAATACAAAATTTTAGGCTTGAAAAAACCTTCAGGAAATCAACATGAACTAGGTGTCCTAGAATTCAGAGGTGATTTCTGGTACCCGGACAGAAGCTAACTTCTCGTGATATACCTCAATATGTGACCTCTGATATCACCAGAAGTGATCTGTAGTCTATGTATTAGTAGGGACTCGTGGTTATATGGCCATATTGCTTTAATTTTAATCAAATCAGAGTATGACATTTCCGATTCTCTTTATAACTTAAATCATGCAACTCCTAACCAAGTCGATGCATGAAAAAAAAAATCTCGTCGAGGTAAGTGTATACAGAATTAGAAGATATATTGATGTGAACTCTTCGTAACGTGTATAACAAAAAAAACCTCTCAATCTTTAATATAAATATTTTTATAATGGTATGATCACAAATTTATATGAAAGACAACAAAAATGAATATATCTACGTACATATAAAATAGATATAAATGAATAGCAAAGAAAGACCCTTAAAATTTTTAAACATGAGAGTCATGGTAAAGACCCATAAGCTAAAAAAGCAAAATATTTAAAAAGGCAAAATCTATGTACAATAATATAACAAAAATTGCATTGAATTTAAAGATCTGTAAATCAGATTACCCCATGTTAATTAAAAATACGGTTGACTGTGTAAGAAAATAGTTCTTTTGAAAATTCTCAATAATTTTGACACATGCATAGATAGTATTTCATACAAAAAAAATCGTTATTTATATTGAAAGGCCTCCTTCGTACTCAGCGATCGACAACTCTTTTTGTGTTGCAAGAAAAATTGTTAAATTCTCCCAGAATTTATATCTGTAATTTGCTGACCATAAGTTCTGTATATTTTATGTTTATCATTTCTTTCTTATATGAATTTAGGTATATTTCTCCCAAAACCGAGTGTTTAATTAGCGTGATAAGTCTTGTAATTACCAGAATAATTCCTTAATTATTGGAGAAGAAAGAATAGAACTTACATTTGTCTCTTTCAAATTCATACTAAGCTACAGCTCAGTCAGATATGTTTTGTTTATAATATCCTGCAGCCTAATAGAAATTTAAGAAACCAGCAGATTACATTTAGAAAGGTGTATTTAATGACTAATTGGCTGTTCAGTTTTTTGGACCCCAGAGTTCATAAGAAAGCAAAAGACCCCGAAAGCAATAAACATGATTATATATATAACAGTTAAAACACTCCAAAACTGGTTTATCCTGAAAGTCAGAAATCGTTTTCTATGTACAAAACACTTGGAATGTTTTGATTAAAGCAGTCAGTGTTTCTTCATGTCAAATTTTTGAGTTTCCAGTCTCTCCCTTATTCAGCATGGCTTCTTCTACACATCGCATATACACTGCAAAAATAAACGAAGTAGGTTTACAATAACACAATGGGTATGCGCGGATCTAAAGAGGAATTCCCCTGGAATTTGGAGAGTTATAAAATGTATATACTAAAGCAACTAAAAGTGACCTTGGACCCCCTAGAAAAAGCGGATCCCTGTTTAGTTGGTTTGAAAAGTCATACAAACGAAGCTGAAGTGAGCTAACCCCCCCCCCCCCCCGAAAGGTGTAAAAGCAACTCCTTTTACTTTTATGCCATGTAAATAAATTGCAAGCGTACATAAAATCTCATGTTAAAGTATTAAATAATTTTCCTTCTGTGATATAAACTACATTTCCAATAATTGGTAGATCCTGATTGGTAGATTCTGATTTAGTTGAATTAAACTTGATGTAGACTGATAGATGCCTATCAGTAGATGTTGATTGGTATATGTTTGGAAGATGTTGATTGATAGATATCTGGTGGGAGATTTTCACTTATAGATGCCATAGATACAGATTGAAAGATTCTGATTTCACAAGCTAATTGAAAGATGCATGTCGTAATAAATGTGACGATTGGTGTCTGTTAACGGTAGATCCTGATTGGTTGATTCTGATTTAGGTGATGTTGGAAGCCTATCACAAGATGTTGATTAGTTAATGTTTGGAAGATGTTGATCGATAGATATCTGATGGGAGATGATGATTGGTAGATACTGAGTGAAAGATACTGATTGGTAGATGTTGACTGATTGATGCCTATAAACAGATACTGAATGGTTGATGTTTACTGGCAGATGTTGATTGATAGATGTTTGGTGGGAGATGTTTTTGGTAGATACTGTTTGAAAGATGCTGATTTCGGATGTCTATTTTTATGTAGATATTCGATAGTTCTAAGCTGATTACTAGATTTTTATTGATGGATACCAATAACATGCTTGTTGATAGATAGTTGATAGGTAATTTTTGGGAGATGTTTATTGGTGGTCGTTGATTGATATATTTGAGAGGTAGCTGTTCATTGGATTGGTAGATATGGCTACTTACCAGACCGATCCAAACGAAGACCCACGGCCAAAACAGCAAGCATATTACCAGATTTAGACAAGTTTCTTCGTGGAATCTGTAAATAGAATTTCTTTTTGTGTGATCGATGGTTTTGCTTTGTTTTTACCATGAAGGACAATAAAATAAATCTCAAATTACAGTAACTTTGATATAACAAAGGTTGAGAGTTGTCCATACTAAAAATTAAGTAATCTGTTCACACGTGTCGTATGGCCTATACATGTACTTCTAAGTTAAGTAACCTTTTAACACAAATAAATACCGTTTATTTTCCAAGGTATGCTAAAATCAATTCCGAAATTGACTTTTTTTTTTACTAGAAGCAAGATTTGGCCTCGGATCATTCACGCCATTTGTATTGTTTAAATGAGCTTGAATACTATTCGTTATCTTCATATTTCATTGTAAAGATGGTATGACTGGGCAATTTTTTCCTTGGAATGAATTGAATACTCTCAAAAAATTCTAAACATTCATTCACTGCTAAATTTTATTTAATTTCATCATAAGGTCTTATCAAGTAACTACATGTAATAACATATTTATCAGTTTAATTATTTAACTCTAACAAGTTTCACAGAAATTCCGAGAAAAAAATCCAATATATATCTCAGTAGGTTCCCCCTGAAAGTTAACGACAGTCTAAAAGCAAGTCAAAATCCTCAGTTAGAAGCAGAAGTAAGTATACGTAGTCCGCATTTGTTTGTTGTAAAAATTCAGATCTTAATTATAAGAATAATATATATCACTTAACCTCTTATATTATTACTCTTTATAAAATGAATACCATAAAATTGTCCATTTCCCTCAGAAGGCACCACTTCCCAATTCCCTTAAAAATCCAGAGCTACTCCCTGGGACTACTCCCTCATTAATATTTTTAAGCAATCAAAATGCTTAGCGGGCGGAGCGTTCAAGAAATCTCGGGATTATTAACAATATAACTATGACGTCAAAACATTTCGACATGCGATGTCAAAATCATACAGGAATTATAACAAAATGACGAGCAAAATTTCTGTGGAATTATTTCATTTTTCAAAAAGATGTTATTATTTTCCTCGGTGGTGATGCATTAGAAATCTTCGCCGCCTCAAAAAATAGTTTTTTCCTTGAGGAAGAATAAACTTGCTATTTCCCTCATACTCACATACTCGCTTTCATTAAAATTTACCAGTTAATTAGAACCGCCAATCGTGTACATAATCGCCCTCTTTTTTCGCTATTGCACTGCCTTTTTTTTTTTTAAATAGATTGACTGATTGATTGTATATTGTTTTACGTCTCATTCGAGACTTTTTTTTTTGAAATAGAAAACGAAAGTAGAACTTTAATTAGATTAACAATAATTACTCTGCGAGTAAAATCTTTGTACAGTTTTAGGGCTGGGACGATACAACATTTTCTATATCGATACGTATCACGATATTTGAGCCATGATACGATATGTATCACGATACGTTGAATTGGTTTTAAAAGTTTTTTTTTGTATTGAAATGAACAAAGCATTTCTTCACAAATAAAAATAATTTATTCAAAGAAGTTGTGTATCTGTTATCAAACAAAATTATTGTACACAAGTGGTGTTTATCATTATGTATTTCATATTTATGTTTTGCATATTTTTTTTTTATACTTAACCCAAAATGTTAAGTAAACAAAAACAAAAAAAATCTCAGAAATTTTTTTTTGGCGATCTTTCGATATTTCTTTATACATATCAATAAGCGTATCATCCTCACATTGAATGCATATCTCGATATATCGTTCCAGCCTTTTACAGTTTACGGATTAATACATTGCAACATCATTTTTGTGAAATCAATTTCTGATCATTAGAATGATGTAGTTTACTTGTGTAGCAGGTTTTATTAATATTGAAATTTGACCATAACTTTACTAGTGTTTCTAAAGAGTTTTCAGAAAGATTTTTGTTTTATGTAATCATGTCAAGATTGTTTGCCAAAATGTAGAACCAATTTATAGAAATGCATTTGTTGGCATGGTCTTTCTGTGTGAGAAGCAAGTTTAATTGAATTTGGACCAAAACTGTGGAAGGAGTAGGAATTGAAAAAAAAAATGCTTGCAGCTAGCTATAGGCAGACAGACAGAAGAATGGCAGACACCTTACTACCGCATAAGCCATAAACTCTTGTGGTCTCTGACTACCAAAGGTTAAATTTTGCATATTATCTGGAATCTTCGACATTAACCAATCACCTTCTTTTACGTTCTTGTACGACCACTCCGCCGCCTCCTTGCTGCACTACCACAACGTTGGACTGTTGAGTAGTAGTTGGGGCTCCATACCCTGGCTGGGAATATCCATATCCAGCTGGGGGATGTCCGTATCCAGGTTGTGGCTGTCCGTATCCAGGCTGTGGCTGGCCATATCCTGGTTGGGGTGGGCCGTAACCTCCACCGTATGGGGGAGGGGCACCCCCGGGTGGTGGATATGCTGGCTACAATTGTAGATTATGTGTGCATTTTGGAAATACAAGTAAAGTATTTATAATTTTATTGCTAGGAAACAAGTAAAGGTTAAATGTTAGTAAAATTTGGTTAATAAAAAAGACAACCAATCATTTCTAATTAGAGAGAAAATTAACCATAAACTGTTAACTTTTAATACACGCTCTGACTTTAAACAATGTGTGACAAAATATAATTCAATACCTTATTAATGAGAATGCGGATATTTAAAACTTCTTTCTTATTAATATTCGTAGTGTTTGTTTAAGAGACAGATGTTATTCAAAGTAAAAAATAATGATTGTCTATTTAAATGGCATGGATCATGTACCACAAATTGCAGGACTTTAAATGTCACTCTGTTCAATACCTTTGTTGCGAACCACGGTTAAATACACTTATTTGAACAGACCAGATAATTTGACATGCTTCCACATAACGCCATAGAAACAACAAATCTGATACCGACAAGTTACAAGTCCCTGCAGAATAATATAATAGATCGATCCAAAATCAAATTTTCGATTGTATTCATCTATGTTTGTCGGTTTGATACGAGCTTTTCAAATGAAAGACATATATCAATGATGAATACAAAGAAATAACATTCTGAAAGGTAGAAATATTGTATATTTATATGAAATTACTAAATACTTACGTTTGACATCTTCTTTACACGATTTTCTACTGCAATGAATAATCGGTATCCTTTACTTATCTTTTCATATTATAAGTACAATCCGACAAATTCTCTTTATTGATTAAAATGTAGCGTTTTCTACCTTATTTTAACATTATATTGACAAAATGTTGGAAAGATTACAAATAAACATAATTACCTTAGCCGGTGCTAGGAATTTTAAACGACAAATGGCGGATGTTTATGTCTAAATGCGCAAAGGAATTTAAATACCCCCTGACGTCATGAAACTGTGGTCAATCCATGTACTAGTTATTTTTAACTTCCGCCTTCATTTAATTCTAGTTAATTATTTTCAAGAATGCCGAAATTTGAAAAACTGTTGTCAACTGAACACAGATAATGCACCTTGTCATCTCTTTATTTTTTTTTCTAAAATTGATTTATTCCGATATAATTTAATTTTGATTCTAATTTTTTAGTGTCAAACTTAATATTTATTTCTTAATATTATCTTGTCAAAAAATGTATTGTTCCAAGGTATGTCGTATTCTAAAAAAATATCTATATATCTCACCTTTGGGCTAAGATCCTTACCATTCGTTTTAGATAGAAATCTAATTGGATCTGATTAATTAAAAATTAACTTTATTGTTATTTAAATCTTGGATACTTTAAACAAGGTATATGCAAGAGAAAGTTTTCTTCTATATTCAAGGTTTTTAGTAAACATTTTAACCTTTTCTACAACCGATTTCAACCATAACAGTATCAAAGGCTAGAGAGGAACAGAAATTGTATTTCATGATCTTTGCCTCCCTGGGGCCAAAAACCATCCAATTGAATGCAATCTTCAAATATCTTCTTTATCCCCGGATATCGAGAGTCTAAATGATAGCATAATTATACATTGTAATAAAAAATAAGTCCTCTATTAAAATTTGAAACTCATGGCCCCCAAGCTACATGTATGTTGTAGTTCCAGCAAACAAAGCTGGTAACAATATTGGTTTTTTAAAGGCTCATTATTATAACTGAATTTTGGTTTTAATTCTACGCCTAGAAATCCAACTTACACTTACGTCTAACAGTTCACTTTCTAAGGATGATATTTTTTTTAGAATTACATTTCAGTGCTTAATACTTTGAATACAAATTTAAAAATCACTCTAACTCCACATACAAGTACTCCAAATTGATATGAAAAGAAAGCTGGAATTCCTAATTTACAACATTAATATAGTTTTTGGAGACCAGGTCTTCCAACAAACTGTTGGAATACCGATGGACACTAATTGTACTTCCTTATAAGCCATCCTGTTTTTATATTTCTATGAAGGGAATTTATTCAGAACTTCTACATGAGACACTTGCTTTGGCCCTCCACCTCGAAATTCAGATAAATTGACAACGCTTTTTCAATTAACAATATTTTTTTTCCATTCAAATGTCAACTCGATATACCCAAATGAACTCGAAATAAAAAGCACCACAAAGTCTGCCACATCTCTTTCACATTGGGTGTTTTACTGACTATAGACGATAAATACAAACTAACAAGTAAATCGTATGACAAACGAGATGACTTCAGCTTTTTTCCGCTGTTTACTTTTCTTTTTTCTTTTTGTAGTAATATCCTCTGCATCACCTGCATGTAGGGTTTACGCCTCTCAGCTTATTCGATAATCAAGGTCATGCCCTTCTTATAAAGTCAAAAACATGCATTCAAGCAATTGGATTTGTATCAAGATACTTCTTAATTTCAAGATCAGCAAGACAAGGCTGTCCTATTGCTCCTTTGCTTTATGTTCTTCAAATAGAGCCTATGGATTGTGCAATCAGACAAAATCAACAGATGTAGGGCATCTTAATTCCTAGTAAAGATGAACATATAGAGTGTAAAATAAATATGCTTGCCGACCGCACATAGCTATTTAATAAAGATGAAGAATCTATAATAAATTCTTTCAATGTTTTAGAAGTATATAAAAAGACTTCAGGGGCAAAAATTAATTTTTCAAAAACAAAGGGTCTGTTTATTGGAAAATCAAAGGGTAAAACACCAAAATTTGAAAAGATTCAATGGATAAAATCAAATATTAATAAAAACTTTTGGGGTATATCATGCATATGGAATTGACACGGAAGCAATATAAATGGAAAAAAATATTATCAGTTTGCATATTTGGAAAACTATAAACCTCACAATTAAAGTGAAAACTTTGATCATAAAGAATTGAATAATTCCAATCACTGGTTATGAAATTGAAATGAGAGGAAACAAATAAATGGTAGTATTTGGTCTTTTATTTTGGATAATAAATTAAATAAAATAGACAGAAATATGTGCTGTTAAAGCAAGAATGATGGAGAAATGAACATGATAAATATCTTTAATTTAAATAATAATAATAATAAATAAATAAACAATTTAAAACGATTTATAGAATAATGCATTCAAAATCAGAAACTTGGAATGCTATTGGTACATTGTAAACACTGATAAAAAAAGTAAAGATATACGTCCAAGACAGGTATATTTGTTTTGCTTTTGTTCTGACCAGTCTCAGTTTTCTTTGAATATGTATAACTATTATATAAATAAAAGTATATTGCATTTAGTGAATTCCAGTCAAAATTTGAGCATGTAAATCGAGATGAAATACTCAACCTTCAATTGTTTGGAAATAAATTAAAACAATTTTCAAGGGAAGTCACTCTATGTGGATCATTTATTTAAATGAAATATGGAGATAACGAACAGTACTCAAGCTCAAAGTCCATTAAAGCAATACAAATTTTTAGCAGAGCAAACACGAACCTCTAAAAACAGGTGGGATCAGGTGCCATGGAGGAGTGAGCATTCCCTGCCGACCGGTCACACCCGCCGTGTGCTCCTTGTCATGATCGGTAAATAACGGAAAAATCCGTCGACAATTCAGTGTGTAAATAATGGCCTAACAATTGTTTTTTTTTTAAATTAAAGACATTTGGAATGATGAAGGTAATTATTTAATTTAATACAGTAGCATTATATGTAAAAACCAAAGGGAAAGTCAACAACATCTATTTTTCCATGATGACCGTAGAATGGTTAAACCAACCTTCAGGTGCAAAAGGTCTATCAAAAGCTGGGGTTCTCGATTTTATCTGAAAAAAATGCTGCATCTGAATGTTGCATATCACAAAAAGAAAATTGGGCGACTGGAAGCATGTGTACCACAGTCTACAATTGCAATTGCAAGAGATTTTGATGTTGCACAAAGCACTATATCTAACCTATAAAACATATACCAACAGCATGGTACAACAAATGATCGCCAAAAACATGGCAGACCACGCGTGACATCAGCAGCACAGGAGCGCTTCATTGGTGTGCGTAATTTTCATAAACGTTTCACAATGACGTTATCTATTGCATTAGCTATCCCTGAATTGCACAGAATGTCTAACAAGATCGTTTGCAATTGACTACAGAATGCTAGAATTATTGCCAGAGGACTAATTCATGGCGTTGTTCTGACCCCACAAGACTGCAGATATCGACTTCAAAGGTCACAGACCAACAGAGTATGACCACAACAACACCGCTGAACAGTTTGGTTTAGCTAATAGTCCAAAATATTTATAGTAAAGCCTGATGTTAGTGTCAGAGTGCATAGGCTTCGTAAGTAACGTTTTACAAAAGCTTCCTCCGGAAGGTTGATAAATTTGGTGGTGGTGTAATGATATGGAAAAAACGATATAACATACAAGTAGGGCTGATTTGGTTCATATTCAAAGGACTTTGATGGAAAACTGTGCTCTCATACTTGTAAACCCACAGCAACCTGTTTCTGCCATGACCATCTTAATCGCGAGGTTTAAACCCAATTTAGCATGCATTGGACAAAATGGATAGGCATGATTTGTCAAAGACAATTGCAACCCCAAACTCTGCAACACCTGACCAAAAGCTCTACATTTAGAGTGGGATAGTATATTAATGCACCCATTTGCCTATTAGGCTACCATTTGTGTCTGTGGGGGCATACCAGATATTGATATTAAATGACCTTGAACTGTCTATGATTTTAACATTCTTGAGTAATTATGACATTTAGATCGTAGAGCTATTATTAACCACATTTCTATATTATCAATACATCATTTTACTAAATAATCTTTATGTTCAATGTGGCATTAAAATTTTACTTTGCGTTTCTTTTTTGAAGAGTATACATGTGTTTGCTAACTCACCAGAGGAGCGCTATAGAATATGCTTGACGCGTTACATGGATAAGTTATCTCGTGGAATTTGACTGTTAACATCGCAAAATCCAACATTTTAGGATTCAGAATAGGAGGATGCGTTAATTTTTCATGGACATAATACAATGAAATTTTGGAACTTATTGATTCCTTTAATTACATAGGATTATGTTTAAATTACAACGGTAAATTCAATGTTACGCAAAAGAAGCTAGCTGACCAAGGTCAAAAAGCACTATTTAGTATAAACCGCAATATTCAAGAAATTTGATTGATTGTTTATTGTTTAACGCCGAGTCGGCAATATTTCAGCCATTCTTCGGCGGAAAGTTAAGTTTATTTGACTGGTATTTGAATTCAAACGGTAAAACCCGGTGTCAACTATTTGATAAATATGTTGGAAGTGCTATTTCTTATGGAAGCGAAAATTGGGGTTTCCATAAAATCTCCTGAAATGGAAAGATTGCATTTATTTTTATGTAAAAATACTCTTGGTGTTACGCGCAATGTATGCAATTACATGATCTATAGAGAATTTGGTCGATATTCACTTATTATACAACGAAAACTAAAATCATGAAATTCTGGTGTAAATGGCTAAACACAAAAAAATTGCACCTACTAAAATCTTACGAATGCCTGCGATACGATGCAGAGAAGTCGGGAACTAGTTTAAACTGGGCGCGTGACGTAAAGCTTGAACTACTTAGAGTGGGTTTCGGAGAATTGGGGATGAAACAGCAAGTTATAAACTTTGCTCATTTTATGCATGAAATATATGGAGATAACGAACAGTATTCAAGCTCAAAAGTCCATTAATCAATACAAAATAGGAGCAGAGCAAACACGGACCTCCAAACATCAGAGGTGGGATCAGGTGCCATGGAGGAGTGAGCATCCCCTGCCGACCGGTCACACGCGCCGTGTGCTCCTTGTCATAATCGGGAAATAACGGAAAAATCCGTCGACAATTCAGTGTGTAAATAATGGCCTAACAATAAGTGT